TCCGGGCTCTCCCTTAGAGATAAGGTGAGAAGCTCGGTCATCCGGGAGGGGCTCAGAGTAGAGCCGCTTCTCCTCCACATCGAGAGGAGCCAGATGAGGTGGCTCGGGCATCTAATTAAGATGCCTCCTGGACGCCTCCCTGGGATGTCACCCAGCTGGCATGGGAACGCCTCGGGATCCGCCAGGAAGAGCTCGAAGAAGTGGCTGGCGAGAGGGAAGTCTGGGCTTCCCTCCTAAAGCTGCTGCCCCCGCGACCCGACCCCGGATAAGCGGTGGAAAATGGATGGATGGATGGATGGACATGACCTAGCTGATTATTTTAAGAAGTTGACTATATGGAGGTAGTGCCAATCACAATTTTTACCAGATCCAAATTGAGTGATGCTCGTCTTCAGCGGTTCCAGATCGAATGTAAATCTGACGGCTTTGCCGAGGTCCTCGTCATATTTGCGCTCGCTCACAAAGTGCTGCAAAGGAGAAACGGCAACAGACTAGAATGAGGGCACTGCAGCTGAAACAACGAGGCGACAGAGCAGTTGAAGCACCTTGATGTCGGCCCGCAGTTCAGTCAGCTGCTCTTCAGACATGGACGCCGACTGGTCTGTCAGCCTGCGGAGCTCCTCGGCTCTCTTCTGTCGGGCGTTCAAAATCCCCACTGAAACAAACGATAGCAATGATTTGAAGAAACAAGATGTCCATGTCAAAACAATGTTTGATTGTACTTGTACTGTGGTGCTTTTGTGTTGTGCAGCGACTCACAGTGAAATGCTGCTGGCGTATGGGTACTACAAAATCCAAGTGTGTAAGAACTTGGATTTCATTTGGCCTCATCGAAAAAAAAAAAAAAAAAAAAAACATTTTGACAGGTCTAAACTAATTTTGCATTCCATGTACAACATAAGCAACACATCAAAGCCTCGCACAAGTCACGACAAATATGTGCTGCGAGCACAATGTGGTGAGGTGCAGGGGAAGCACGTTCATTGTCGATCATAGTTGACTAAGTGGAAGTGTGGTGTCATGAATAGTTCGGCCTCGGAGACCATTCATTTGTGGCTCCAGCTCACCCATGACTAGTGCTGAATGATTTTGGAAAACTAATATTCAATTGGGCTTCCTCCCTCCCTCCTCCCTTCAATATGAAATTACTTTTGAAAGGTCCTCTTATGTATTTTGTAACAAACATGAGCAATAAATTAGTCTCTGCGACAACAAACAAGATCAGATTTATGTTATCTAGACACTAGATAGATAAATACATAAAGCCTACAGACAAATGAAGCGGTCTGCACCCCCTACCAAAATATTTGCAGCCTATGTGATATGAAAATTGCTTTTTCTACTGCAATGCAAAGATGATTTGAATCCGATGAATTGCTCAGCCCTGCCCATGACCTTAATGAGGATAAGCGGTACAGAAAAGGACGAATGGCTGAAATGCACGCTGGCTCGGGTGTTTGAGAGACATATTTTCCGTACGCGTTTTGGGTATGCATCGGCTCAATGTGCAGCCGAGCAGTGAAACTGTGATTGCTCTTGTGTACATTTAAAGCCAGGCCAGCAAACAAACATCAGGCACTTGACACTTAAAACAAGCTCCCTGGCAAAAAGGAACACTGCAACCTCAACTCAGAGACACAAAACCAATTTTCAATGAAAAAAAATGAAAAATCCATATGGCCCATCTGAATTGTTCTAACAACTTCAGGGGGACTAAACAGAAAGAGGACAGGACAAGCCAAAAGAAGAACCTTTCTAGTTTCATGTCTGTACATTTTCTCACGCTTCCCTGCAGAAAGACTGCACTCAGTCTCCCCTGACACCCGACACCGTTCACTTTTTCCAGGAGCACTCTGCACTCGAGGACCAAAGTGAACAAAACATCTTGTTAATACACTTGACTTCTTTATTTGCCTACTTCCATGCACATACCGGAATGCCGTAGATATTCAGTAGTTGTTGGACCCTGGAGACTGCTTCTCTCCCCCCACGCCGCCGCCCCAAATAAAAAAAAAAATATATAAAAAATAGGATTTGCTCTTCCCCAGCAATATTTGCTATGACCTTTCTGGAAACATGTCAGGCCAGATGTTTAGTTCCTATGGGGCATAGTTGTCGAGGGGCTGCCACCTCCCTGAGACTTGTCAAAGACGAGTACTTACTGGCCTCTGCTTTCACTTTGTCCATTTCGGCCAGCAGCGTCACTTCTCTGTCCATTAAGCTGTAAAAGAAGAGGGGATAAGAGGGCTCAAGTGTCTTTCATCAGACAAGAATCGCAGAAACGTGAATCAAGAGGCAGCTGCACGCCATTGGGATAATGCGATGAGCGGTTGTGCGAAACGCGGCAACAGTTTGACTTTGGTACAAGTCACTGAAATAAAGATGACAAGGACCGGCCCGGAAAAAAATTCTTGCCATTACTCCAGGTGATTTGCTGCCTTCACCCAGAAGAGGCTAGGCAAGCTGCGTGACCGCTTACAGACCCTTCTCTCACGCAATGCAAAAAAAAAAAAAAAAAAAAAAAAAAAAAGTACACACGTGGACTGGAGCTCAGCAAAAGTCTGCTTCATCTTCTTGAGGGATGACTCCATCTCCTCCTTCACCAGCATTCTGTAGCGAGTCAGCGAAGCGGTGCATCGTTGCAAGTCCTTCACAGAGCGGTCGATGTTGGGAGCTGAGGGCACAAATTGACGTTCTCAAAAGAGGGACTACAAGGTCCAAATGTCAATGCGTTTGGCCTATAAATGAATCTACATATGACTACAACTAAGTGACAAATAAATGATCCTCCTCCATTCACTCACAAACGCAACGTGTCACAGTATGACGAATGAATTGGCATCTGCTTGAGAATTAACTAAACCGATATTTTCAGTTACTACTTAACACCACAGGATTAGGTATCTTATACTTTGATTGTCATCTTAACAGCGGAGGCAGATTTCAGGAGTGAGTCAGAGCTTGCCGATCTTTTTGCCTGCAGACGAGCGTTGCTGACTTTGTCCATCGGGGAATGCCGAGGAGGAGTTGTGATGCTGTGAATCTCGTGCTTTGTTGCCTCTGGGCCCCCGGTAAGAACTGTGTACTGGCTGAGAGGAGGGCGCACGTTCCACTTCTGCACCTGTGGGAGGGCCGCACATCAGAGCTGTTCAATCCACTGCAAACCATGATGCGGCCATATTTGTTTTTGGTAAATAAAGATCAACTCTCACATGGCAATCTGTGCCATGCTTGGGCCCACTTGACACCTACTCTAGCATCTGCGGTGTTTGGTTGATTGGTAAAAAATTAACTGTCCTTTGGCTTTAAGATGAAGCTCAATGCACTTCTTTCTCTGGCACAGACGGAAGAGCTCAGTATTATAGGTCATTGACACAATACAAAGAATAAATTACCAAATTACCAAATAAATTACCAAATGCACTAATTTTCACTTGAAAGAATAGTGAACAATCTTGTTTTTTTTTTTATTTTAAAGTTTCAAATAGTGTGTAAATTGAATATACTTCATCTTTAGCATGTTAGAATAAAGTGCCAATTTTGTAAGCAAATAGGAATGGTATTTCAACAAAAATTGTAAAATTTTGTTGATAAAATGAATGGTTTTAAGGCTTTAAAATCTCTAAAATCCATAAACTAATGTATGAATGCATTTTATCCTATAAAGTGGGTGTCTATTTACAGTATATACAACTATGTACAGTTTCATGATGTAGAATGTTTATTTTCTCTTCATTTTAAGCTTTTTAGCAAGTGCTAAAAGCTTGTTAGTCCTCTCCGTCTTTTTCACTCTTTTTAGCCAACTCTTCTTGCTTTTTCACATGCTCCAGCCTTGCTTTCTTCTGCTCCCTGTCCAATCCATCCGCCCTTGAGATCGAGTAGTTACTTTTCAGTAGAAATGTCTGTTTTCAGTGTTTCACCGAGGTTGCGTGACTCTGTAAAGCTTTCCATACTCTCGATCCGTATAGAATGACATCGTCACACACTGTACACAGAGCTTTACCAGCGACATCGAGCTTTTTCACAAAATCCGACACAAGCACAGACAATGGTTCCTCTTTACTGTTTCCTACTGGGGACACCGTCAGCTTTCTATCCAACCAGTCCCATCGAAACGTGTTTTTCAGATCCGCATCTATCTGACGCACGTTAGCTTCGTCACGAGTCTCGATAGCATTCGGCATTTGTTTAATACAGACTACATACACGAGTAATTTCAATACACTACATCCCTTGCGCAAAACCATTCAGAATTCGCGGGAGAGGGGTTTAGGAAGGCGAACACGGATTGGTTGTGATTCTACATTTGCCGATATAGCGACCAATCACAACAAGTAAGACATTGGTTTTAGCCCATACTGTATACGAAGAAAAAAACGGTATTCAAAATGGATGCTTGCAAATTTTATTTGTAAGCATTACGAGTCCCGAGTCTGCCGAAGACAAGTGAGTCCGGCAGCCCAGAAATAACACCAGACCCCCCCCCCCCTAAAATTTTCTCAATGGATTTGGAACAATATAAAAAAGGTCCATTTTGACTGGGGAAAAAAGCGGAATTCCGCCAAAAAGTGGAAAAATCTCATCTCTGTACAAGTATCCACCAATTCAGATGTGATGACGGCACACAAAGCCCAAACGCGTGTAGTACAATTTGAGTTCATGCCAGGTCTAACACAGTTCAAATGGCCTAGTGCAGGGGTCCCCAACCGCTGGTCCGCTGGGCATTTGGTACCGGGCCGCACAGAAAGAACTTGCCTTAATTCCGTTTTATTTATTTCGGAATACGAAAGATGTTTTATTTGGAAAAACTACCGGATTCTCCGTTACATCCGTCTGTGTTACGATTGACACACGTCAAGCCACACTTCTCCTTCACGTGACCGATTACTTCAAAACAAAACGCGGGAGCTCGCAAAATGAGTAAAAAAAAATTGCTGGAGATCGCAAATGACGGCGGCCTTAAAAGTACGTTCAAGACAACTGGATTAAAGTTATGGCTGAATACTCTGAGATGGCCACAATAGTACTGTTGCTATTTCCGACATCCTACCTATGTGAGGCGGGGGGTTTCTGCAGCAACGGCGACGAAAACAAAATTACGAAGTAGACTGGACATAAAACACACACTTGAGGTGTCATTGTCTCCTATTACCCCGAGATGGGACCGTCTGGTTGCAGAAAATCAAGCTCGGTGCTGTGGTGAGTCGTCATTTTCATGCACTTTGAATTTGCGTTGTATCGTATTTTGAAGGCATTAAACATTGCCATAGCGATCGGAGTGTTGCGGCCAGTTAGACGCTCCTTGTGTTTGTTATTATATTTCGAAAACGCCACAGTTTTCATGCAGCTCATACCATATTATTTTGTTGTATTATTTCCGCCACACCTTAAATGCCGGTCCCTGAAAATATTGTCTGACATAAACCGGTCCGTGGGGCAAAAAAGGTTGGGGGCCCCTGGCCTAGTGTGTGTATGTCCCTCAAAAGAAAAAAGGGCAACACGAACCATAGAGACACCAATAGACAAACCCCACTCTGTGTTTGGTTTACCAGTGATTTCAGATGTGGTTAGCTCAGAGTCCAGCTCCGACGCATCCAGGGAAGCAGAGTCCAAATGTTCGCTCAGGGAGTCAAGTGACTCCCCCTCTACCAAGGATCCGTTGGGGTGGAAGCCGTTGGTCTTGTCCTTGCCCTCCTCGGGTGATACGGCTTCAGACGGACCCGGTTCGGCTGCGGCCTCCGGCTGGGGCTTGGGCTTCTTTTTCTTGTTGGGCTGCAGAATACCCAAATGTCAATGTCAGGGTGGTGGTGGTGGTGTTTGTTCTTTTGTCAAGTACCAACAGGGCATGATGACTTCATCCTCTTCATGCTTCACAGTTGAAGATGTAAATTGCTTCCCATTGTGTACATTTGTTTGTTGTGTGCTTGAAGGTAATCCTCAACTCCAAAAGATAATTCACTGACTCATTAAGCTTAGTAAGAGTGAGGTGTGCCTACCTTCTTTTTGCCAGTGACACTCCACTCCTTCAGGATCTCCGCCGCACTACCTACAAAAAGGCGTGACGGAAATAATGATGGCGCGGAGCAAAATACTTCTCATACTGTCTAAATGCCAACTTGGAGCTATCAAGGTGTGAAAAAAAAAAAAAAAAACAGTCCGATATAATAGTAGGTGTTTCTGATGCTTAATATAAGCCAGACATGCGTAAGACTGGTGTGCCCACAGTACACTGCCAGTGGCACTATGATGACACACAGTCACAACTGAACTCCAAGCATGTGGAATTGCATCAAACAAACATTGCCACCTCCACTATATGAGGCTGTTGTCATACTGCGTGTGACGCACATGACTGCTGCCCCGAAGGCATTTCTCAACTGTGGCCTTTATGGGAAACACGAGCCATTCAATGATTAGTCGGGAAGCTTTCTCCGTCAACAATGAATGACGTCCTCATACCTTCTAAGAATGCTTGAACGGCCTTGTCAACGCAATTCTCAAAATGTTGCAACACCAGAACAATCTCATTGTTGCTTTTGTTGGGGACAACTGCCCTGACGGCGCTGATCTGCAACACAAGAAAACAGCTATCATATATGGGACGCAGATCATGTGGAGCAGGTTTAAAAGTGAAATACAATGAAGTGACTTACTAAAACAGTTGGTGACGCAGCCCAAATCCACTTAGGGTAATTTCCCGTGATTAATGTTTTTGCAAAACAAAAGTTCAAAAATTGCCCCCACCACACCGTCTATGGTTAAAGGGTCCAAAAAAAAAAAAAAAAGACATTACCGGTATATCTTAGACATTTACCAGTACCTACAGTTTGCATACTTACATTCCAAAGTGCTATTTAATATCTAATGTTGCACATTTATCTAACATAAAATCTATATAATTTAATAAATTGTACACATTTCGTTTGCTGTTTTTGGTGCGATCCAACAGTACAGCTACACAAGAACTTATTTCCCTTATAACTTCTTACTAGTTACCTCATTGATGTTCTTCTCAGCAGTGATTTTAGGACGGAAAGTATGTGCATATTCTGCGCTCATATCCCGCAGTTAGTCTGTATGGTCGTGTGTCAGTTAGACACATTAGTCGGCCAGCTTTGGCCACAAGGGGTTCACGACACTCATGAGCACATAAGGAAATGTCATTGGTTATTTGCATACTGTAGAGTCATCTAACATTGAAATGATTGTTGCTCCTTGCAAACTTCCTGTAGGAGTGTGTGGAATTTTTTTCTTCAAATATATACGTCAGCATGTCATAACATCACGAAGGCTAATTACTGTAAGAAATTCCAGCTCCTACATGGTGTCTTTACACTGAATGCCAGCAGTGCAACATATCTGTGGGCAAGGGCCTCATTTATATGGCGAATTTCATACACAAGTTAACTCAGTGTGCTTCACGTACATACAATGTATAAAAGCAAAGTTAAGAAATCAAACGTACTTACCAAAATTACATTAAAAAAAAAAAAAAAAATCTTGAATGATCTTAATCATAGGTATTGGAAAACAGCACTGTTTTTAACCTGGCTTTAAAGGAATTTACACTTTATTGGTATGTTTTCAGTCTGTTTATTCACGGTGATAATTATATACAAGAGGGGGAAAAAAACTACTTTTTAAGGGTGGTGGGGGGTACAATACACAGGAGATTATGGTTAATGGCACACAGTGTGCGGGGGATGTGCAACAATGTCTATTTATTTATTTATAGTCAAACCTCGGTTTTCGTCCATAATCCGTTCCAGAAGGCTGTTTGAAAACCGAAATTGTTTGAAAACCGAAACCACGCTCTTTTTAAAATAAAAATGTTTACTGAACACGTCTGCTCACAACGGAAAGCAACACGAGGAAGCGTCACTTCCTCGTCTACCCGAGGAAGCGTCACTTCCTCGTGTAAGGAAGGCGAGAGGAGTCAAATGGTGCATTCAAGTGCGCTCAGTTTGTTCGAGAACCGAAGTTTGTTCGTCATCCGAGGCATAAAAAAAAAAAAAAAAATGAAAAACAGAAGTTGGTTCGTCAGCCGAGGCAAAAAAAAAAAAAAAAAAAAAAAAAAAAATCGAAATTTTTGGTCGAAAACCGAATTGGACGAGAACCGAGACGTTCGAAAACCGAGGTTTGACTGTATTTTAAATCGCAGGTGAACGGCGCGTCGCAATATCGAAGATATGACGGTCAATCAAAAAATGTCATCTTTTTTTGCATGATTGACCGCAACAAAATGTGGCGAGATGCAGAGAGGCAGAATCTCAAAGAAGGAACGAGAACTGTACAGTACCAACATGGGTTGAAAGGCCGCTCTGCCAGGAAGTAGCCATTAGTCCAAAAGAAACGGAAAAACAGTAGAGTTTGCAAATAGACCCAGGGACAAAAAAAATCATCTTTGGATATATGTCCTGTGGTCGGATGAAACTAAAACACGACAGTTTGGCCATAATGCGCATAGTTGCGTTTGGAGTAAATCGAAGCAAGCTTGCCGGCCTGAGAACACCATCCCAAACTGTGAAGCGTGGCGTAGACGCGTCATTGGGTGGCCTTGTTTAGGTCAAAGCTTGGGCGCAAACTGGGCTTTCAACTGCACCGTGAACAGAAGCATACTGACAAACCGGTGACTGAAGTTACGTACCAAAGCGGCTTATTGGTAAAGTCAATGTTTTGGAGTGGCCACCACAAAGTCCTGATTTTAATCCTCTTGAAGATTTATGGGCAAAACTGAAACGCATCTGTGAGCAAGGCAGCCTACCAATGCATCTTCATTAAATCCGTCTTGTCAGGCGGACTGGGCCAAAAATTCTTGCCGACTATTGTGAAAAGTTCGTGGAAGCTTGTCAAAACATTTGACCCAGACTATATACAGTTTAAAGACAATGCTAACAAACCGTAATGAAGTGTTAAATAAACTTTGACGAAAATAAGAACAATTTGTATTAAAAATCAAAAATCCCTCTCACCTTATTCAAGCATTTAACAAATAGAAATTAGTTGGTGAATCCTCATTCACCTAAACCAGGAAAAGTGTTTTCTGGTTTCCATTGTATGGCCTTCTTTCATCTTTGCTGACCAGTGAGTGACAATAGATGGGACAAAGCATGAATGTCCATATTCGTGACTAATGGGAATCCTTTGCCGCACATCAAGACTCAAGCATAATAGAAGAAAACGGCTTTGTCCAATGTTAAAATACATGAACGTGCAACATTAAAACCAGCACGTTGCCCAGCCAAGTAAACATGTCAGCAACATCTTCAGAATGTGTGTGTGTGTGTGTGTGTAAAACGGTTTGGCTTTGTTTTTTACCCCATGGCGTATGGCACAATACAAACATTTGAGATGCATTTGCATAAAATTGCTTACCAAAGCAGACTTTCCTCACAGGCCTTCGGGTTAAGTAAGGTGTCGAACTTTAAACAAATAACACTCAAACGCCCTCCAAAGTACAAATGGTAGAGAAGTATTTGTGTGTATGGTGAGAGCAAACTCCTCGGCGTTGCTCATACCCACACATCTTACCTTTTCCTTCATCCTCTCCGGTGGTCCTCCCTGGGACATGACCATCTTTGAGCGTGTGTCAAACACCACTCCCGAAGTGTCTGAAATGAGCAGGAAACCAAACATACAAAATGAATGAACAAGGAGCCAAATCAGTGTCTAATAGTTATTTCACATCACTTCTGAATGGAGCTACATTTCAAATCATTCCAAGATATGTCTGCTCATTTCCGGCACTGGCTTGTTTATGTCAAACAAAAGGAGTCTTCAAGGATATCATTTGCCCTTAACTGTACAAACAGTGAGAGGAAAGTCCAAAGTTCAACACATGATTCCGTGATAGGAAAAGAGGTTGAAGTGACAGTAAACATACAAGGCCAGCAGTCAGGTCACTCTGCTACTTGTTAGGCCACCACACCTCCACATGCGTGTCAGCCTTGCGCGTGCGTGTTCATCCCAGCACGCACTCACCTTTTTGGTTCTTCTTGGCCATGTTGACAGCTGCAAGGGGGCAGAAGGCTGCAGGTGCACAAAGATGAGTCGTCAATGTGCTCAAAACGATGACTTCAAAGTGCTCCTTCGATTGTTCAAGTGGATGTTGGCCAGAGGGGGCTTTTCCCCCGCTTTTCTCAGAGCTTGTGCTGTGATGGAGGCTCACAAGCTGGCCAGAAGCTTGCAAACAGGAGAGTCAATCTGAACCGCCACCAGCTCAGCCAAGGACAATTTCTCTTCCTGGTGCGCCACACTAATCTAGGAAAGGGGGGCAGGGGTTAGTTTTTTTGTGAGTCATTTGGTTGTTTTTGTCTAGTCAAAAACAGAAATTGCAATGGTGGAAGTCCTGTAGTAGTGCTTCTATGTACAAGGCCTCCTTACGAGGGAGAATTTTTCCTAATACCAATGGAACATGTCCCTCACTCGCTCGCTAGTTCACTCAATCGCTCGCACACTCACACACACTATGGCTGCAAAGAGAGGTTACAAACGCACAGTCAGTGCTGCCAATTCAGCGACTTGGAGTGCTCTACAAACTATGATTCCAAAAACCAACTGACTCACTTTGAATTTCTCTTCTGGATGTGCCTTCCTTCATCTTTTCCAAAAACTCCAAAGAAATACAGGCACATATTATTTGGAATTAAGGAGTTCAAGTCGAAAAAGGCAAACTCAGATGTTATCCAATTGTTGCCTCGTGTTCTGTAAACCTAAATCTACGTTTTCAGATCGTCTTAATCTTGTGACATGTTTGTCATGTAAGAATCAGACCATCGAGTCAACCTAGAAATAGACAGTTTGTTTTGCAGCAAGTTCAAGGTTGTTTCAGAGAAGCATTTTTAAGCAGCACAAAAGAGAAGAGACACATTTCTGGCTGACCAGTAAGCAGTGGCAGGATGTCCTGAAATACAAATACTTTGTCGTGTCACAGGTCGATTCAAAGGCCAATAATCAAACAGGATACAATTGTCCCCCCATGATTGCCCTGTAACAAGTACTGCAGCAGAAGTGATTGCTTGTTAAGAAGCCCTTCATGTACAATAAATCACAACACCCTTTTTGGTACGAGTTACCACGGGGAACTTGGAAGCACAGGAGGTGTAACTACCATTTGTAATTTAACAAAGGGAGTTAATTGATCAATTCATGATCACCTACTGAGAAATTTGGTACTGTATTCACTTCCTTGCTTGAAAATAGTCAGTTGGGAAACGGGACTGAAACACGTAATAGAACATGAACTGAGTTCATCTGAAAACGGCAACTTGCGTTTTAGGCTCATGTTTAAATTTCTCCTGAAAGCCGATGAAGGGGAACTTTTGGTGCATCCTTGTTTGTTGATCAAGTGATTTAAAAGTGAATACATTGAAACACGCAGTGACGAATACAGGTCAATGGGCTTCTTAGACCACGTCTAGAGACTGGCCTGAATGACTGCAAAGTGTGAACGCCACGAAGTTCGTGTTCATCAGGCACGCTTTGGAAGACTACACAAAATTCTTCAAAAGAACCTTCTCCAATTCCACGAACACTGAAGTAGCAACCGACGCCAACCAAAGCGCAAGTTGGCCGGTGGGAATTCCACGTCTTGCGGGACAAATAGAGGTTGTAGTAGCCGGAAGGTTGTCCAGTGTATCCGACACAATGATTAGCTTTATTCTCACTCGTTTCACATCAGCAGCCAACTCCGGAATAAGCAGCTAAACTAAGCTTTGCCAAGATTGCTAGCCTTACCCAGCGCCGTGTTAGCTTTGCACTGCTTCGACCACGATTAGAATTATTCAAGCCTCTGGTGTTACATTTCCAGCAATACAAGCGGGCAATAATTTGCAATAGGGGCACGGTAACTAAAACCGTATTTTTATCTTCTCCATCAAATATGAACATCGGATTGCTGCTGTAGGTAACTTCAAGCTAGCTTGACCTTATTGTGGTGAAAGAAAAAGAAAAAGAAAAAAGGCTGCCCATCTATTCATTGGACACCGGTTAATGCGGCTCGCTTGGAAGGTGAGCCTTTTTTTAATTTGGCGTGCACATGCTAGGCTAGCATGATATGACATGATATGATATGCTAAGCAAATAGTAGTTACGTACTTGGTGATGCAAAAGTAGAGAATAATTCAGGCACGGTGAGAGCGCAGATCTCAAGCTAACCTCTTGTGAGAGAAGCGTCAAGACAAGAGGTTGTTGGGCTATTCCACCGTTCGACTGCTGCTCCCTGTAGTTTGCCTCAGGCTTCTCCAGGGTTGCCAGGTTGGAACTGCAAATACACGCCTTTATTAATCATTCGCTGCACACAAACATTGTTGACAGAACCCGTTTTAAATTAGCTTATCAGTGTGTTCTATTATTTTACTAGAATAATAACAATAAGTCCTAATAGTTGGAAAATGTCGGTTATCTATCTATCTATCTATCTATCTATCTATCTATCTATCTATCTATCTATCTATCTCTCTATCATCTATCTATCCATGTATCTATACGCCAACAGCTGCTGATGTTGTGTTGCTAAAGGCTGCAGCAAAAGAATAATTAAAGAATTTAGAAATTTTAAAACAATTATGTTTGAACAGTTAAAATGTTATGACATGATGGGATGATTACTTGTGGTTTTTGTTTCGTTCCACGACCTGTGCAGCATACATCGTCTTCCATTCATACATGGCAACCCTGAGACCGTGTCGTCACTTCCGTGGGTGGAGGAAAGCGATTGCTCGTTTTGGTAACGTGCACCTCCCAATTAACAGACTTCTGTCGTTCTTTCAATATTCAATCTATTTTGCTGTTAATTCTCAAAAGATTTGAGTTCTGATCTCGTGTGTTGAAGAAAGTTCCCCGTGGATATTAGCTGGCTGTCGCAAATGTTGATTTAGAATTGCGAAAAGAAACTGTAGTCCAAACAAACCGACAAAAATTTGCAGTGTTGTGAAAAAACAATATGGAAAAAATATAAATGGGTCGAAGGATATACGAGATCACCGCTGTGGAATTGGAAAATATATATTCGAATATTCTGAAATATTAGAGAAGATATGGGTTTAGATTACGCATTTTTGCCAGATGCAAATGCTACAATAACATTAATTTATACCTGCTTTGAGATGGATTGAACATCTGTTCTTCTGATTCATTCGTTGGCTGTTTTTATCAACTTTGGAACAGCAAATTGGTAAGAGTGCACCTGATGGTAGAATCTAGACCAGTGGTTCTTAACCTTGTTAGTGGTACCGAACCCAACCAGTTCATATACACGTTCACATAGGCGTCATTAGGCCTATTTTAGGGAGGCTTCAGCCTCCCTAAAAATGTCTTTAGCCCACCTAAATAATTTCATTGCATTATTTAAAAAAAGTATTATTTATTTTTCCTGTACTTTTGCTAATATATTGCATCAAAATCAATGTAATGTGGCCATTTTAAATTATATTTCGATACCCTGCCATTATTGTAATGCTAAATCTCCCAGGTTTCCTGAACGCAACAGGTGTTGCGTTAGCATTTGAAGTGTCTGTCACCATCGCCACATCAAATGCTAACGCAACAACTGACAGTTCTTTGCCGAAAGTCAGGTTGAGTCGACAACATGGATATTCGACAGTTTTTTAGAAAGGTAAATTATATATTCAATGCATCCATGCTGGTAAAACTAGTGACTATAGTCCGCTAAAATATCTCCAGTAACAGCAGAAACTGCACTGTAACAAGTGTTCACTTTTGGATAAATTAAGGTGGTGCTTAATAAAAATTAAGCAACATTTTATAATTAAATACATAAATAATCATTACACCAACTCTTTGAGGCAACACCTATTGAGATTTTGGCCTATATAAAATAAATAAATAAATATAAAAT